GGGGGGGGGGGTGAGCAATACCAACTGAGTCATTTCACTGCTCACAGAAAAGAGAGCAGCAAACCCTGACTTAAGCTAAGTGTTCAAGCCCCTTCAAAGCAGACAGACCTCGTCAATGGAGGACTCCTCGATCAGGCGGGGGGCCTCCGCAGACAGAATGCCATGAGTGGCCATGACATAGATCTTGTAAGCACCTCTCTCTTTCAGGATCTCCGCAGCAGCCACGAAACTTTCCACATCGTCAATGATGTCATCCTGAGAAGAGAGCGGAGTTGGCGTTAAGGAGCCACCGTCCACCCCACCTATGAACACATACTCTCTGCACCTGTTTCAGAGGATGTAAAATCCAAAATCAGAGCTATCTGCGTGGGTCAAAGGGCGAGCACCCAGCAATGGCAACAGAACTTCATGGACTGTGCTTTGCGTGGCTGTCGGTGCAAAGGGCAGCAAAGCCTTACAGTCACATGGGACATTTACAGCTAGTTATTACTGCCAAGGCTCGCTTCCTATTTTAAATTTCAGATCAATCCTACACAGCCAGTGTTCAGTTACTTTTTCTGAGAGAAAGTTCAATGACATGTACAAAGAAATAAAGTGAGCTACGACAAAGGACGACCCTCCGGCCCAGCAATGGCATTTAGAGCTGGGAGCAAGTGCATCCTGTTCCCATCTGAAGAATAACACAGGTTCTCGTTAGGAGAAATGGGGCCGCTCACCTTCAGTTCACCTCATGGCCCTAAAGCTCACGGCTGAGAGGGTCAGGTGGTTCGCTGGGACCCACAGCCCTAAAGACGAATGGGGTTGAATTTCTTATGGGGTTGAATTTCTTACAAGAATTCCTGTGCTCTTTTTACATCTGTAGGTTGTAATAATCCCTGTTCATCTATATAAAAACCTCCACTTGTCCTAAGGAGTTTGGGTGAGAAAGGACAGACAGATCCATTTAAATTTATCATCGTTACTAGAAATACAACGCAACGTGGACCCTACTAAGAGCCAGAGGTGTCATCTCTGCACGCGAAGGAAGACGCGCGCCTTACCACTATGATCGCGATGCTCCCTCCAACGTCTCCGACCACCGTTATTGGTGGTTTCTCTTTGGCCATCATCACTAGCAAAACAAAACAAATGACAAGACCTGGTTAGTCGTGCATCGCCAAAACGTGCTCACAACCAGCCTCGCCCTCCGGAAGGGGTGGCAGAACCACTGTAGATCAAAAAAATAAAAGAACAAAGCAGCAGATCCTCTCCAATGAGCCAGCGGGTCTCTCAGAAACATACTCTAGAGCACACTGTCCAACAGAAACGGAGGGTGAGGCACATGCAATTTCATATTTTCTAGTAGCCACATTAAAAACACACACAGATGAAATGAATAGATTTTATTTTACCCAATATAGCCAAAATATCATTTCAATATGTAATCGATATGCAAATGTATTAGAAACATTTCATGTGGTTTTCACACTAAGCCTAAGGTACCTGGCGTGCGTATTACACACACCGCACTTCTCAGCTGAGACGAGCCCCGTGCTGACTAGCAGCCCCCAGGCTTTACTGGCCCAGCCGTGAGGACGGAGCAGCAGGGCGAGGAGCTCACTGCCGCCTGTCACCGTGGAAAAGGAGCCCGCTCTGCAGAAACCCACGGGGCAGGCTGCCGGGCAAGGAGCGCTCGCTTTCTTCCAAAGCGGCCTTAACTAGACGACGAAACCTATTAACAGACAGCTACGCTAATGACATAACCAGTTTCCTGAGAACAAGGAGCTTGACAATAGCCCCGAGTCCGTCCTGGTTTTGGGGGTTAATCAGGCCTCAAGGCAGAGGCGTCTGATCTCGCTACAGAAGTGCCATCTGGAAAAGGCCGTCGGGGCACAAAGCAAGCTACAGGGCAGAGAGGAGAAACAGAGTTCACCCTCAAGGGGTCAGTTCACTGAGAATATTTCAGGGTGGGCCACGTATCCTAGGTTTTTAGAAAGTTTTATTCAGAAATATGTATTAGGCTAGTAGCGGGAAGGGGAAAGAATAAAACTGGTGATGGTCTAAGTCCAGTGGTCACCAGCCGCTGAGTCGTTCAAGCCCAGCTCAGCTGACTCCCACCTGCAGGCGCCTACCCTCGAACAGGCGCCTTCCGGCAAACTAGGGCCAGGCGAGCCGAGGCGAAACAGCGCTGTCTTCCTGGCAAATTTCAACATGCATTCCCCGCTTTCCCGTCCCAGAAACAAGGGCAATTTCTTGAATGTGGACGGTCACAAAGGCTCTGTACATAACTATCACCCAAGGGGAAGAAAATACACCACCACCGTTAGGAAAGCCTTCCCCGAGTCCTGCCTCTCGTCAAACTACGGAGGCGGGCGGTTCTGGGGACCGACCGCTTCTTAAAGAGACGTGGTCCTTTTCTTGACCATTTTTCTCTGTAAAAAGAGACAAAGACTGCAAGCCAGTATCCCTCATCAAAGAGCAGCAGAGACTCAACTCTGGTCCGACGCAGGAAACAAGCCCCAGCGCCCTGCTCATGTCTCTGATCTGCCTCCCGCAAACACTCATCCATCCGTCTGAAGTAAGAAACAGGCTCCGCAAGGACCGGGCTCAAAAAGCAGGCTTTGCTCCCCGGGTGCCCGTCCCCGGCTCAGGGCGGGCTAAACCTGAAAACACAATTTGGTGGCTACTAAAAAACAGAGACAGACTTCATTACAGGGTCAACAGAAAAAACAGTACCTGGCAGGCTAAAAAAACGCCAAAATTTTTCCAATAGTTTGCCCAGAAAATACCAGAACTTTACAAGTTCAGCAGAGGTAAGGTACTGAAGGTCGCAGTAAGGGCGCTCCCACCACCCTGTGTTCAAGTCGCTGATCTCCTCCACTTTGGCAAACAAAACCCAACCTGTTTAAGGAGAAAATGAACTGTGCGCCTCTACTGGGGCGCCACACACACACACACACACACACACACACACCCCCCCACACACACACACNCCAGGAGTCACTGTTAAAACTACTTCAACTTACTGCAGGGCAAATGTTCCAATGTTCTTAGGAAAGACGAAGAAAACTGTCATTTGCATTTAAAATTAGCGTTTTCCAAGTAAAATAATGCTGCATTTACACACACACACACACACACACACACACACACACAATTTCACTCTCTCCCCAGAGTCAATTAACCAAAGCTTTCTGTCCTAAAATAAAGAACAAAAAAGGACTGTGGAGAATTATTTATTCCCGATCCATTTTAATCTTAATCTTGGTCCAGTTCTAGTTCAGTGGAATGTCAGGCTGTCAGGCTGACATTAAAAAGAGATGAGAAATAAAGTACAGTCTCCAGGAGAACCAGCGGAAACAAGTCTCAAGCTCATAAATCTACATGTAAACAAGTCAAGATCCACAGCCAGCAGATGCTCAAGGACAGCGCGTCTGCTCCCTCCGCATGAAACGCAGCAGACGGCACGCAGGGGAGCCGCGGCACACAATGCTCCCGCACGCACGAGCCCCCGAGCCACCCGGGAGGTCCCCAGTCCACCTTATAAAACAGCCACAGAAACCACCTCCCCTTTAATAAGTGACTCTACGAGAGGGTCCCCACCTCACACTGCTGACTAGGGACTGGACACCGCTGGTTACACTGAAGATGTTCAGCAGCCCCTCTGGCCTCTGGATGCTCCCTGGATTCCAGCAATGTCCCCCCTCTGCCTGGCCGAGACGACCAGAAATGCCTCCAAAATCCGCTAGGGGTGAAAGTCGCCCTCAGCAAGAATGGTGGCTGCTCTAAAAGACCGGGTTCCAGGAAGATGAAACAGTGCATCTTCCTAGCCGATGCAAAGACCCCAAGAGTGACATTTGCTTTCCTCTGGCCTTTTCCTAACATTCTAATATCGTCACCTTCATTACTATAAATAAATTATGGAAACATAACTGATAAATATATATAAAGCATATTTAATCTGGAAGGTTCAATTACATATAAGGAATAACATTTTTTCAGAATTGACTAAATCTATAAAAGGGAATCACAGAAAATGACCCTATGGCAACTCCAGAGGTTGTGATGTAAGCACCCAACATGCACGTGAAGGGACAGAGCTTTACAAGGGGTTCCGGGACACACAGGGTGACTACAGGGAAAACACTGTCCCGATCATAAGTAACAGCAACATTCCCAGAACAGAGAATCCCACACATACAATACTGTGGTCAGCAAGCAGCATCTATCAAAACAACCCCTGACCCAGTAATTTTATTTCTTGGAATTTATCCTATAAACACATTCAGTCACTGGTGAAAGAACGTAAGTCAAGGTTAGTAGAGTGTGGTGACTGCGTGTACACCTGAAGCCCAATGCTGGTTTCTAAACACCCCTTCTCACTAAAGGAATCGGGGCAGATTCCAGGGCTAAGAAAGTACAAAGCAACATCTCATTCTACCAGAAAGAAAGTTACCAGAAATGATAGAGCACATTCCAGGGCTGAGAAAGTACAAGGCCACATCTCGGTTCTACCAGAAAGACAGTTACCAAAAATGATAGGAGCACGTCAAAAGAACACGGGAGGCAGCTTCAGGAGTTCTCTTTGGCCACATCTGAGACAATTTGAACATTAAAATAAACAGTCGCATGGGTTAGATTATAACACACTGAATAAAATAAGATCTGCGACTCCATACTGATACAAACAAAGGCACCGAGGGGAAAGAAGGGGAATTAGAAAAATCACCATTTGACAACAATCGGAGTAACAACTGATTCAACCTAATCATGAGGAAACAACAAGCCCCCATTAAAGGACATGCTACAAAGTGCCCGGCCCATACTCTTCAGAAGAATCAAGGTCACGAGAGACAAAGAAGAGAGGAGCATCCAGACTGACTGAGACTGAAGTGACGACTGAGTACAACGTGTTATCTCCTATTGGGTTCTAGTCCAGAAAAACACTGTTTTCTTTTGCTCTAAAGGACACTGGTTGGACAACTGGTAAAATTTGAATAGGGACTGAAGATCAGACAATAGTATTATAACAATGCTCATTTCCCGAGTCTGATCATTATAAACAATTAGAATGTTTACGTCTCAGACAGGAGCCTGTCTGAAAAAACCTGGGGTGTAACCATCCTCCTGTTTCCACCTGCATGTTTCTGAGGCATGGCAAGTAGATACATATTTTTAAAGGAAATACTCTCCTTCCTCTAAAAAGCATAATATGTCTTCCAGTATAGAATGCTGGTTATTGCCACTCAAAAATTCCATGGAAATAAACAGCCTCCACACTGCTGGATTAGTTACAGGTCTGTCAGGAGCCAGGTCAAGAGCTCCAGGACTGACACGGCGCTAAGAGCGCCCTGATCGCCACAGCCGAGTAGCTGATCAACGGTGGCCACCACCCGTCGTACCAAGATATAAAAACTTAGGATTTCACAGCATCACACATACAACTTCTCTACTAAAGCTAAAATTATTTCACACCTTCTGAATGCTAAGTGCTACCCAGTAAGTGCAATTGTCTGACAGTCTACACATGTGTAACCCAATCTCCATTCGCAAAAGGCGAAATCTACGCAATACCATTCTGTCATTTAAAAACACCAATAGCACATCCATGAAAGTATCAACTCCTAGCCATTCATATTATCCAAGCCTTTCTCCAGTCTACAAATAAGGTAAAAAAGAGAGCTAAGCTTACACGGCAACTCCAGGCCGGGGTGGACAGTGGCGTTTTTGACCATTGGGGGAGAGTGGCGACCGTCGTCCATGTCCAGCTCTGTGCACTGGGCCTCTCCGTGGATCACAGCTAAGCCCAGGCGGAGCCGCTCAGCATACGACTGCGCCCTAAGACAAGGAGGGGAGACGGTGAAATTCACAGGAAGAAAACCCAAGTGTCACTGTTCCATCATTTTATTAATCACAAAATGACTATCATTCAACGTCTTAGGGACACACGAAGGAATTATTTATACGAAACAGAATGCGGGGCCCAGGCCCCAGTGTAAAAGCCTCGAGAGGCACGCGAGCTGAGGTGTGAGCTAGTATCTGCTTCTAGACCGTTCTGGTTCCACCCTCTGTCCAATATTCTCACCCTCATCTTCAGAAGAAAGAGCTTTGCTGGGAAATGGTCTCTTAAAAACCACTGCCGGGGACGCGCTCATGGCCCTCCTGCCTTCCTTCTGCCGGGAGCGGGGAGCCGGGGGGACGGCGTCCCACTCCGAGGCGGGGAGGCCCGGGGGGCACAGACCCTGGACGCCCAACAGCTCATGCTGACTTCAGAAAGCACCGCGAGCGGTTTTATAAGTGTCTGGATTATTTACCTTTTTGCAGCATCAGGAGACTTAGCTACAATGACTGCATTTCTGTAATTTGGAATCTAGATTTGGAGGAAAAATAAGAAAATACTGAAAAGTTATACCTGGAGGCTGGTATTACATTTTTTCCTTTATAACAATGACCCACACCAGCAACCATAGATACTAGAATTTCATTCACACATTTTAGAATTTTAACACCTGTCAATGAACATCATTGCAAAAGTACTGTTACATCAACAAGATAAAAAGTAATTCTTAAAACCTTCATTTTAAAAAAAATAAGCAAACTGTTAAAGATACTAGAAGGAGATCCATTTTAAAGCCTCTGAACTACAGGACCCTCCACGCCTGAACTCTGGCTGCCTTGGGATCAAGGCTAAGGGCAAGGTCATTGGAAGAGCCTTTCAGTGTTGAAATCTGATACCAGAGAGAACTACATGGGGCCTCTTTGAGGACAGTGGGGTGTGTGCCGGAGGCTCCTCACTTCTTCCTGGATATACTGAAGCAGGAAAGGTGAGGCTCTAAGGTTGTCCACGGGAAAGCTGAAAAAGCCTTGAATTTCCTTTTGATGAAGATCCATAGTGATAATGTGAGTTAAACCTGAAATTTTAAAACAGAGAATTACAAGTTCACCCCTGCAAGTTAATGGCTACAGGGGACACAAACTAGATGCCCAACTCCTGTTTCCTAACAGAGGACTGAAGGCCGGGGTTACTGTTAACAAGCACATTAGTTAGAGACTTTATCTGTAACTTTAACAAAACGTAACAAACTGAGGAACGTGCCCAGCCTACTGTAAAGGAGCCTCTCTCCTCCACACGGACACAGATCCAAGGCTGAGAAAAGCACTCTGCTCTGCTATTTGCTTGGTCCTCAAAATCGAGAAAAGAACTCACGTAGAAGCAAAAAATATGAAGATGGAATTAATAAATACTGAAGCAGAAATGGACGTAAAAAAATAGTAAGGCCTTGACTAAAGAATTTCAGAAGAAATGTTGAAAGACTGCGGCTGTGGCAGGAGGAATGAGAAAGCGAAGTACCGCACACGTTAGAAACAAGACACTCGAGTGCGACAAAGATAAGATCTTGAAGGGTTAGACAACTGCTGTCTGCCATGAAAGAATGGGCCATGGAATATCCTTCTGGAAAAACAATGAAGACAGATGGATATAATCAACAGGGCTAAACAAAAAGAGACAGATGTATGTTTCTGAGGACTCAAATGTGGTAGTTTTTTCTTTTGTTAAAAAATAAATAACAGGCAAATAAAATTCTAATAACTGTTAAGTGTTACCACATCTGATTCATAGGCCACAAGTATGTCACTGCTACCCAAATACATTAGAATAAAAGCAAAGACCATGACCATCAGGAGGGGAACAAGAGTACACAAGCCGAAGAAGCAGTGAGAGAAAACCCAGTTTTAATACTATGCACATAAAGAGAATCCAGCTAACAAAGGCAAATACCTCGGCCCGAAGCTTCCAAGATCACACACGGACGCCAAGACGGCCAGTTAGGCTGTAACAGTGACAAGGTGATATGTAAAGGAGGTAGCAAACATGGCAAAGGCCGAGGTTAGAGAAGCACAGAAAGCAGGGGAGCAGACGGATCATGTCCTCTAGAGACGGGAAAAGGGCCGATTTCTACCTCAGCTCACTACCCCTAAGCGGCGCGCCTCGGAGGGACCGGGAACAAGAGCCTGGGGCGGGGCAGGGAAGGGCGGCCAGGTCCCGAGGGGCCGGCGCGCACGCACCCGCCTTGGCCAGCATGGACGCCAGGAGCTTGCACACGATGGAGCCCCTCTTCCTCATCTTGCTCTGCTTGCTGTAGGGGAAGTAGGGAATGACGCCGATGATGTTCCTGGCGCAGGCGGTCTTCAGGGCGTAGGCCATGATCAGCAACTCCATCACGGCCGTGTTCACATCTCTGCAACAGTGGGGGGTCGCGTTTGAGGGTTAATTTCATTTATTAGCCCCTAGAACAGATCTCGCCCTCAGCAATTTAACGTGAGCTCCCCAGATGGGCATCATAGGCACTTTACTGCCACCCTAGCTGATGTGCCACCTCGTGAGTACAGGGAAAGCGTATTAACTCTCCTTTGTAGCTGTGTGAACTCCGGTTTCCACCTGTGGTTACTTAAATCCTCACCTCTGCCCGGACCTCCCGTCAGTGGCACGGTCACTGCAGTGGCCTGTGAAACGGACCTCAACTGCGGTGACAGTGCTCACCACACCTGCTGGTGCCATCCTGGGGGCTCAGGCTCAGGGAGCAGGCCAGTCCCTGGTTTTCCTGTGAACGCCGAGGGAAAGCCACCCGCCTCTCCTAGTTAGCTGTCTTTCAAACTGAGTGAGTTTTACAATTCCTGTTACACACTTGAGATTAAGGAGGGAGGTAAGATTACCAGAAAGGCTCTGGTATCTTTCTTCCTTGGGGGTGAAGGGTAGGGTAGGAAATGAGAGGTCTTGGAACTTAATTTCCAAAAATCTCCCCATCCCGTCTTTCCTTGAGATATACAGACGCCTGGCAAAGATTACCCAGGCAAACAGCGGATGAAACGGGAATCTGAAAGGCATTCAAAGAAAAGCCATGTCCAATGTTAAGGAACGAGCACGCCAGCCTCTGCCAAGGCTGAGCAAGCCAAGGCGGGCACTGCCCGTAAAGACGCCGCCCCTCTTCTGCGTCAGGAGTGTACCTCCCTGGCCCTCCCCAGACAAAGAGGACCTGTCCAGTTATCATTCCTTCCTCCAAGGTAAACTGGAGCATGTTCTCCTCATGCTGGCGACGTAAGAAACGTCAATTTGAGCCAATACGAGGAAAATTGCCGGGAAGCAAGATCTCCAATGCCCTGGAGGATGGCAGTTTTACAGCTTCTTTCACGCATTTGAAATTAAGGAGAGAGTAAGGAGATTACAAGGCGGTGGGAGAAAGCAAGGGGATCTGCTTACAGGGCATTAACTAGACTCTTACAGGCCTGGGGAGGTTTACTTCCGCCACTTCAAAGGTGTGTTAACATAGATGCACAAGGACACGGGGCAGGGCTGGCTTAAACCTGTCACTAAAGAAGTTACTGACCAATGTTTCTCTCTCACATTGATGTTTCCTTCTCTCTCTCCCCTCCATGCTCTCTAAAATCAATGACCATACCCTCAAGAGAGGATTAGAAAAAAAAGTATGTTGCCAAACACCTAGAGGGACGGATGCCCTGTGGGCTCTGAATGTTAGGCTGGAGGCCCACGGAGTCTCCAGAGGGCAGCGCGTAAATGACTCAGGAGTCCTTATCCAGACTAAGCACCAGGCGCCACACGCCCTCTCCGTATACGGACGGCCTGTCCACGGCAGGCGTGAGGTTAGAGCCCTCCCAGCCTCCGCCCGTGAGGAAAAGCCCCACTGGCCTTGGTTTCCTACCAGATCCCAGCAAGACGTCCAGAGCTGAAGTGACCGCTACCGGGCCTGGAGACCGCCTGCCCAGGCCGTGGGTTTGAGCTGGCTCTGTGAGAGCATTTCTAATACACAACCTATGACACCGGAGGTGTGGATAGGACACAAGAGCCCAGCGAACAGGTGTTAATTGGAGGAGTAACTTTCCTTCCATTATTACTAATTTCTCCCAGGAGGTTTTTATTTCCCACTTTTCCTCTTCCTAAGGAGCTAGGCCAGGAAAGCAGCAGCCTCCAGCCCCCAGCCCAAGGCGGGGGAGGCTTACTAGTCAGGAAGGCCACGGGGGCTCTGCCACACTGGCCTTCCCCTTCACTGAGGGGCCCGGGACAGGCTGGACACCAGGCAGTCACTGGGGCCAAGAAAACACCGGCTGGCAGCCCCTGCTTTGCCTGCTCCTGAAGACTGCTCCCGTACACCATGGCCTTCGTGCCATATTTGTATCTAAGCAGGTCGCCTTAATTGGTCACCATTTTTCTTTGCCCTCAGAGAAGCGCATCCTATATTAAACTTGGCTTTTTTCAATGGGCAAAAAGGAATGTGAGGTGAGGAAACAGACATGGTTTATATACATCAATTAACTGCCCTGGACCACAGCCGGACCAGCTCCAGAGGGCAGGAGATGCGGTAATGGGGTAGGATTTACCCCGCCTGCCCCACCTCCACCGATTAACACCTGTAGCAAAACAAGTGGTGAATGTTCTTTCTTTATAAAAAAATCAATTGATTTTATTTATTTATATCCTCAACCGAGGGCATTTTTTTCCATTGCTTTTCAGAGAGAGTAAAGGGGGGGGAGAGGGAGGGAAACATAGATGTGAGAGACACACACCAATTGGTTGTCTCCCATGTGAGACCCGACCGGGGCTGGGGATCAAGCCTGCAACTGAGGCACATGCCCTTGGCTGGAATCGAACCCAGGACCCTTCAGTCCATAGCTGACATTCTAACCACTGAACCAAACTGGCTAGGGCAAGATTTCTTCTTTTTTTAAACTTTTTTAGTTTTTGAATTTTAGAAAGAGAGAGATAATGATTTGTTACACAGATTTCTATAATGCCTGTATTTTTAATAATGAACGTTGCTTTTATAATCAGAATAAAATATTAAAAATAAAGTACTTAGTATCTGCCAGCTATCACGTAGGGGACTTTGTTATACTTGGGTTCAAATAACTCACTCTGTGACCCTGTGGTCCTCAGTCTCCTTCAGACACAGTTTTCTCAACATCCTCAAAGGAGGCTATACATTGACAACACTGAACACTTCTGGTCACCAAATGTGTGCGGGCCTTTTCCCACATCACGTAATTCTCAGAATCTCCAGACAACAGCTGGGTGTCCTGAAATTCAACTCCATTCTGACACCATCTTCTTAGAAAACAGCATCAGATCCCACAGGCTGAGGGCTCAGTCCAGCAGGGCGGCACCCCTTCCCCACTTCATATGACAAATGCCAAGACTCACTGTCACCTGTGACTGTGGCTGACCCACTATAAATCAGAGGTTCCCATGACCCCCTTCTTGGGTTATGAATTTGCTAGAATGACTCACAGGACTCAGGAAAAGCGTTTAACATGCAAACACACTTATAATTTAAAGAGAACGGAATTGTTGTTTATATGAAACGATAATGAATTACATCAAAGTAGTGCTAACTCTTACCTGGGTATTGTCTGTATAATGAAAATATCCTGTCCACGAACAGATTCTTTTATTTCAACTCTTGTTTCTGAAAAATAAAAATGTCCAGTGGCTTTAAGGAAAGGACTTCATGATGCGAGGATCAGGAAGCATCTGGAGGAGCAAAGACAAATCTACCCAGCACCTCACTCAGTGCACCAAAATAAACCCTGATTTCAGGGTGACATGTATATGTTTTTAAAAAAAGTCAAGCGAAGGGGGAAATAAGCCGAAAATAGATGAGAAGGCAAAAGTAACAAACAGGTCTACATAAAACCTCAGGGTCCAAAACAGAACACCCGTCACCAAAAGAAAGATAAGACACTCGGGAAAGTCTGCAGCAAATAAAAAGGCCGAAGGTTAACATCCACATTATTCTTGTGACAGCTGCGGAAGCCTCCTCCGTGCCAGCCTAGAGCTGGAGTCCCTACGTGGAGGACCTGCACCAAGGGGGGGAGACTGACCCAGAAAGGCAACGCAATGCCCACGGCTGGCAAACTCTCAGGCCCACGTGCCAGGCAGACCCGCGTGAGAAAGGAGGGAGAGCCAAGGAGCTGGGAACAATGGCCTCATTGCAAGTGGAATGTGTGGCGAGGAAGGGAGTGTGGGAACAGGCAAAGGTGTGGGGAAAGAGCGTGCCAGGCAGAGGGACAGGCGGTTGGCCACGTGGAAAGTGGAGTGGGTGAGGCGAGGCAGACAGGAGGTCAGGGAGCCAGCAGGGCCTGGCCACGCACGAGTCTGGATTTTATTCTAAGTGTGATAGAAAAGCCACCACCGCCGGATTCAAGGATGGGAAGGGTGGACACTGGCTACTGTGTGAAGAAACCTGTGGCAGGACACGAGTGGCAGCAGGGAGAGCAACCCAGTTGTTTTTTAAATAATCCAGAGAAGCAACAAACAGCAGGCTGGCCCAGAGCAGCCGCAGTGGAGGCAGTGAGAAGAGGCTGGACTTAGATGCACCTGGAGTCAGGGCACACAATGTGCTGATGGACCCGGTGGGAGATAAGGCGAGCGAGGTGGGCAGAAGCCAGGTCCCAGGGCCCCAGTGACTGCCGAGGAGACTGGGCTCTAGCCTATAGGATTCTCAGCAGCAGTAAATCCAAACGATTTGCATTTTGGGAATATCCTAGTGGAAGTGAGTACACTGGACTACAGAGGCTGAAGACAGAACTAGGAAGACCTGCTAGGGAGCTACTTCAACAGCCCAAGAGCTAAGGAGGCCCAGGACAGTGACGGAAGAATGGAGAACAAGTCTTCATTAAACCACCTTCTCTTCGAGTGCCTCATTCCATGAGATCCCCAAATGCTACCACTATGAATTAAAGTAGTTATTGCCAAATAGACTCACCTATCTGTCTTCACCTTCAGGTTTTTAAATACTAGCACTTCCTGACTTGACCTAAAGTCACCAAGTAAATATGGAAGTTGGATGAAACATATAGATCCATTAAAATAACAATTCCTTTTTGAATACTTTACTTTTTTAGGTCCCCAAACATCATTATGTCTTAGTAATTTATCTCCTTAAGCTACTCATACCATAGACAATTATACCTCAGAAAGAGAAAAGCAAGCAATAGAATCGTGAATCGGGGCTTTCAACTTTGAAAACAGAATTCTAAATCATCTGATGCTAAGTTGTCTCTGCACCGACTAAGGGAACTATAACCATAAGTACCCCCCCCCGCCCCAAGATTTCCGAAATAGCTCTCCTAGGACATGGGCCACAAGCAACATGCCTTCCAACATGATCATTTAATGTTAGGGTTCCCCATGGAAACCCACATGGCGGCAAAAGCAGGTCACTAGCCCAGGTGAAAGTCTACAAGAAACTCGAGAGAAAAACTTAAAGAGTGAACAGAACAGTTTTTTAATAAGTCACCACTACCCAGTGCCAGGTGGCTCTTGATGCTACCGATGGCCCAATGAGACAGATAAAAGCAAGGAGAATCCACCAGCATCGCCCAACAAAGGAGAAGAGGCTTTCTCCACAGCTCTCCTTGTTTCATTCCACGTGACAGGGTATTTGCATTACCTTGGAAAAAGGGGAAAGGAGACTTTAAGGTAAAAAACAAGGAGCCAAGATCTAAAGGGAAGTGTAGAATGATGACTTACACCTCTAATGCCAAAGAGAAAAATGTTTGTGTTAAACATGAGTAACATTTGCCTTTTAAATACATGCCAGCCAATTAAGCGTAGTTTAGAGAACAGAGGATGTTTCGGAAATCATTTTAACGTTACCTCCATTGGTCTCTTGATACACCACAGACTTCCCCAATTCAGCACCAAGACGCCTGTGGGGGGAGAAAGGCAATTAGCAGTGCTCTTTCTAAACAACCCAGCTCATATGCGTGTTTGACAAAAAGAAGAAAATACCTGGACTGGCATTCTCTGCCGAAAAACTACTTAGAAAATGTAATTCAGTAAGAACTAAAAGTCCGTTTAGCAGCTTCCCGCGCTCACCTGTTTGTGAGGCAATGCTTTACTGGAACAACCGAGTCTAGTGTCTAGCTCGCTGTTTCCTGAACAGTAACTGTCTTGGAAAATCGTTCCCAAACCTACTCGGTTCCTAGCAACCATTCCAAAAGCGTAAGCCAGGGGTCACTGCCCGAACTGTCAAAAGCATACAGACTTCAGTGCCATTAACCAAAATCAGGGTGAAGCCTGTTTGGATCCTGATTAGAACAAATCAAGCGTAAAAAGCCCTTTTTGACACAATCAGGGCAGGATGCACAAGGCCTGCGGCGAGACGATGCTCAGGAATTAACGGTGGTGTACTTTCGTCGTCGTTTCAGTTCTCACCGGTTAGCGTTACCATTTTATAAGTGAGATGACATGATGTGAGGTTGGAATCTGTTTAAAAATACTCTGGCCAGGTATACAATGGAATATTATTCAGCCTTAAAAAGAAATGACATTCTGTTACATGCTACGAAAGTATTATAAGATAAGTCGGGCACTAAAAGAAAAACGCTGCATGATCCTGTTTACAGGTGGCACCTAAACAGGCAAATTCATAAGACACAGAAAACAGAACAGAGGTTTCCGGGGGGCTGGGAGAGGAGGGAAGGGGAAGAGAGTGTTTCATGGGGACAGTTTCAGTTTGGGAAGGTGAGATGGTCACACAACATTGTGAATGTACCTAATGCCACTGAATTGTACACTTTAAAATGGCTAAAACGGTAAATTTTGTTATGTGTTATTTTACCATTAAATACTCCAGCCAAAAACAGTGAAGGAGTGTATGAAACAAGACTGGCAGCGTGTGGAAGCTGGATGGAAACAGGGAGTTCATTACAGCACACATGTAATTCACACATAGCCTGGGAATGTAATGCACCTAACTTTATTAAAGTGCATCAGCAAAAAAAAAGTTTTAAATCCCTGCTTGACATTTAGACCTGAAAGGAATCATGTAAATAAAATATCACAACCTCAGGGGTCAACCCAATTTAATGATCCTCAAACTTTTGCTTGGTGGTAAAACCCTTTTTTCAAATAAAATCTGAGAAACTCAACATATGAAATAGGTAAGAGAATTACTAATATTTATTCTTCACAGTAACTTAAAACCTTCCTGGACCCAGGCAGGGAGGAGCCTAATACCAAAACAAAAAGGCAAAAACCAGGGACGTTTTACACGCGCCCTCCAGCCCTGGCAGGGTGGCTCAGTTGGCTGGCTTCAGTCCCCAGTCGGGAGGCAACCAGTCGATGCTTCTCTCTCACATCGATGACTCCCTCTCTCTCCCTTCCTCTCTCTCTAAATCAACAACAACATATCCTTGGGTGAGGATTAGTAATAATAAAAAAATGTGCCCTCCAACTTTCTGCTTTCGCTCAGCAAGGTCAATGTGGTAAACCTGCCCCAAAATAAACAAACGCAAGTTTTATACTTAAAGGTAGTGTTTTAGTTGGCCTCAAAAAGAAAGACAAACAGTCGGGGTTAGAAATAGAAACAAGGCGGTAGATTGCAAAACGACTGTTTTTTTTTCACTCTGCTCACTTAAAACTGCAACTGAAAAGAAAAGAAGCATTACTGAAAAAAATATCACTAAAGTTTCCCCTTTCTTCTACACTTCCATCTAGAATCTAAATATATAACCACGCCTTTGTTCACCAACTCGGGGAAAATTCAGAGGAAACTCAAATGTAAGTTATTTAAAGCATGAAAATTACTTTAAAGGTGAAGAGACACGCTATTCCCTTTATGTCTTATATTTGTAACAAGTGTATGGGGACTCATAAAGCTCTTCCTTTACACCAGGGCTCCCGGATTCTCCGCAGGAGTCGGCTGGGAAAGGGGCCCCTCAGTGAGCAGTCCTGGGAGCCTCTGCTCTGTCTGCAAGACGGGCGATGCATGCTCACAATACTCTTGCCTGGGAGACAGAGTCAGCCCTGTTTTACAAATGAGGTTCAGAAAAATCCAGCCTCTGGCCCAGTGTCACAGAGCTAGTGAGTGGCAAGACCGGGAAGGCACCTCGAGCCGTCTCAAGGCCACTCAGGATCACAGGTGTCCTGGGTTAGCAGACGCGCAGAGGCGAAGACTGCTTTAAATGATCCGGCCTAAAGCTGACTTGCAGACCACGGCCAGACCCGCCCTTTCTGTCGCCGGCTCCCACAAATCTGCTCGCCCGGAGCT